GGTACACACAGACAGAGCTGGTACACACAGACAGAGCGACTACACACAGACAGAGCGACTACACACAGACAGAGCGACTACACACAGACAGAGCGGGTACACACAGAGCTGGTACACACAGACAGAGCGGGTACACACAGACAGCTGGTACACACAGACAGAGCTGGTACACACAGACAGAGCGGGTACACACAGATAGAGCGGCTACACACAGACAGAGCGGGTACACACAGACTGAGCTGATAACACACGGACTGAGCGGGTACACACGGACTGAGCGGGTATGATTACTATCAGCCCCACATGACGTCTAGATGTGTGTGTGATCAGGAGGTGGTGGTGTTGGTGGTAGAGGAGGTCATGGAGCTGTAGCTGATATTCCTCCCACATGGTCTGATCAGGAACCATCACTTTTGGTCACCAGAAGTCGCCCTGTGAAATAATAATGACGGGCGATGTTTCGGGCAACGGGCCCTTCGCGTCATTAATGTGGAATGCGTTGAGCAGTTTTTATTGTTAATATTGTGTGCGCACCGTTGCTCCGGCAACATCGCAAAACCATTTGTCAAATCACAAGCGTCGTAAATGTAGCGCGGAATTTCCTCACCAACACGCGGAGACAGGTCCAAATGTTCTGCGCCTTTTATTCCACCTCCCATCACACAGCTCCCTCCTTCATCCACAGCTCCCTCCTTCATCCACAGCTCCCTCCTTAATCCACAGCCCTCTCTGTCATCCACAGCTCCCTCCTTAATCCACAGCTCTCTCCTTCATCCATAGCTCTCTCCTTCATCCACAGCTCCATTCCTTCATCCACAGCTCCCTCCTTAATCCACAGCTCTCTCCTTCATCCATAGCTCTCTCCTTCATCCACAGCTCTCTCCTTCATCCACAGCTCTCCTTCACCCACAGCTCTCTCCTTCATCCACAGCCCCCTCCTTCATCCACAGCTCTCTCCTAATCCACAGCTCTCTCTTTCATCCACAGCTCTCTCCTTAATCCACAGCTCTCTCCTTCATCCATAGCTCTCTCCTTAATCCACAGCCCTCTCCTTCATCCACAGCTCTCTCCTTAATCCACAGCCCTCTCCTTCATCCACAGCTCTCTCCTTCATCCACAGCTCTCTCCTTCATCCACAGCTCTCCTTCACCCACAGCTCTCTCCTTCATCCACAGCTCTCTCCTTCATCCACAGCTCTCTCCTCCTTCACCCACAGCTCTCTCCTTCACCCACAGCTCTCTCCTTCATCCACAGCTCTCTCCTTCACCCACAGCTCTCTCCTTCACCCACAGCTCTCTCCTTCATCCACAGCTCTCTCCTTCATCCACAGCTCTCTCCTTCACCCACAGCTCTCTCCTTCACCCACAGCTCTCTCCTTCACCCACAGCTCTCTCCTTCACCCACAGCTCACTCCTTCACCCACAGCTCTCTCCTTCACCCACAGCTCTCTCCTTCATCCACAGCTCTCTCCTTCATCCACAGCTCCCTCCTTCATCCACAGCTCCCTCCTTCACCCACAGCTCTCTCCTTCATCCACAGCTCTCTCCTTCATCCACAGCTCTCCATCCACAGCTCCCTCCTTCATCCACAGCTCTCTCCTTCATCCACAGCTCTCTCTGTCATCCACAGCTCTCTCCTTGATCCACAGCTCCCTCTTCATCCACGGCTCTCTCCTTCATCCACAGCTCCCTCCTTCATCCACAGCTCCCGCCTTCATCCACAGCTCTCTCCTTCACCCACAGCTGCCTCCTTCACCCACAGCTCTCTCCTTCACCCACAGCTCTCTCCTTTATCCACAGCTCTATCCTTCATCCACAGCTCTCTCTTCATCCACAGCTCTCCATCCACAGCTCCCTCCTTCATCCACAGCTCTCTCCTTCATCCACAGCTCTCTCCTTCACCCACAGCTCTCTCCTTCATGCACAGCTCCCTCCTTCATCCACAGCTCTCCATCCACAGCTCCTCCTTCATCCACAGCTCTCCATCCACAGCTCCCTCCTTCATCCACAGCTCTCTCCTTCATCCACAGCTCTCTCCTTCATCCACAGCTCTCTCCATCCACAGCTCTCATCCACAGCTCTCCATCCACAGCTCCCTCCTTCATCCACAGCTCCCTCCTTCATCCACAGCTCTCTCCTTTCCACAGCTCTCTCCTTCATCCACAGCTCTCCATCCACAGCTCTCTCCTTCATCCACAGCTCTCCATCCACAGCTCTCCTTCATCCACAGCTCTCCATCCACAGCTCCCTCCTTCATCCACATCTCTCTCCTTCATCCACAGCTCTCCTTCATCCACAGCTCTCTCCTTCACCCACAGCTCCCTCCTTCATCCACAGCTCTCTCCTTAATCCACAGCTCCCTCCTTCACCCACAGCTCCCTCCTTAATCCACAGCTCCCTCCTTCATCCACAGCTCTCTCCTAATCCACAGCTCCCTCCTTCATCCACATCTCTCTCCTTCATCCACACCTCTCTCCTTCATCCACAGCCCCTCCTTCATCCACAGCTCTTCCTAATCCACAGCTCTCTCTTTCATCCACAGCTCTCTCCTTAATCCACAGCTCTCTCCTTCATCCATAGCTCTCTCCTTAATCCACAGCCCTCTCCTTCATCCACAGCTCTCTCCTTAATCCACAGCCCTCTCCTTCATCCACAGCTCTCTCCTTCATCCACAGCTCTCTCCTTCACCCACAGCTCTCCTTCATCCACAGCTCTCTCCTTCATCCACAGCTCTCTCCTTCATCCACAGCTCTCCATCCACAGCTCTCTCCTTCACCCACAGCTCTCTCCTTCACCCACAGCTCTCTCCTTCATCCACAGCTCTCTCCTTCACCCACAGCTCTCTCCTTCATCCACAGCTCTCTCCTACACCCACAGCTCTCTCCTTCATCCACAGCTCTCTCCTTCACCCACAGCTCTCTCCTTCACCCACAGCTCTCTCCTTCATCCACAGCTCTCTCCTTCATCCACAGCTCCCTCCTTCACCCACAGCTCTCTCCTTCATCCACAGCTCTCTCCTTCATCCACAGCTCTCTCCTTCATGCACAGCTCCCTCCTTCATCCACGGCTCCCTCCTTCACCCACAGCTCTCTCCTTCATCCACAGCTCTCTCCTTCATCCACAGCTCTCCATCCACAGCTCCCTCCTTCATCCACAGCTCTCTCCTTCATCCACAGCCCTCTCCGTCATCCACAGCTCTCTCCTTCATCCACAGCTCCCTCCTTCATCCACGGCTCTCTCCTTCATCCACAGCTCCCTCCTTCATCCACAGCTCCCTCCTTCATCCACAGCTCTCTCCTTCATCCACAGCTCCCTCCTTCACCACAGCTCTCTCCTTCACCCACAGCTCTCTCCTTTATCCACAGCTCTATCCTTCATCCACAGCTCTCTCCTTCATCCACAGCTCTCCATCCACAGCTCCCTCCTTCATCCACAGCTCTCTCCTTCATCCACAGCTCTCTCCTTCACCCACAGCTCTCTCCTTCATGCACAGCTCCCTCCTTCATCCACAGCTCTCCATCCACAGCTCCCTCCTTCATCCACAGCTCTCCATCCACAGCTCCCTCCTTCATCCACAGCTCTCTCCTTCATCCACAGCTCTCTCCTTCATCCACAGCTCTCCATCCACAGCTCTCTCCTTCATCCACAGCTCTCCATCCACAGCTCCCTCCTTCATCCACAGCTCCCTCCTTCATCCACAGCTCTCTCCTTCATCCACAGCTCTTCTCATCCACAGCTCTCCATCCACAGCTCTCTCCTTCATCCACAGCTCTCCATCCACAGCTCTCCTTCATCCACAGCTCTCCATCCACAGCTCCCTCCTTCATCCACATCTCTCTCCTTCATCCACAGCTCTCTTCATCCACAGCTCTCTCCTTCACCCACAGCTCCCTCCTTCATCCACAGCTCTCTCCTTAATCCACAGCTCCCTCCTTCACCCACAGCTCCCTCCTTAATCCACAGCTCCCTCCTCATCCACAGCTCTCTCCTAATCCACAGCTCCCTCCTTCATCCACATCTCTCTCCTTCATCACCACCTCCCTCTCCTTCATCCACAGCTCTCTCCTTCATCCACAGCTCTCTCCTTCATCCACAGCTCTCTCCTTCATCCACAGCTCTCCTTCATCCACAGCTCTCTCCTTCATCCACAGCTCTCTCCTTCACCCACAGCTCTCTCCTTCATCTACAGCTCTCTCCTTCATCCACAGCTCTCCTTCATCCACAGCTCCCTCATTCACCCACAGCTCTCTCCTTCATCCACAGCTCCCTCCTTCATCCACAGCTCTCTCCTTCACCCACAGCTCTCTCCTTCACCCACAGCTCCCTCCTTCATCCACAGCTCTCTCCTTCACCCACAGCTCTCTCCTTCATCCACAGCTCTCTCCTTCATCCACAGCTCTCTCCTTCACCCACAGCTCTCTCCATCCACAGCTCTCTCCTTCATCCACAGCTCCTTTTCACGACTCCTGCCAACATTCCCCTCTTAATGCCACAACCCCCTCTCCCATTCCCTCCCCTCATTCCTTCCTCCTCATCCGCACCTCGTACCACATCTCATCTCCCCCACCAATCTCCCCCTCTCTCTTCACACCACCACGAACCGCATCTCATCTCCCCCCACCAATCCCGCCCCTCTTCACACCACAAACCACGTCTCCTCATCTCCCCAACCAATCTCCCCCTCTCTTCACACCACCACGAACCGCGTCTCATCTCCCCCCACCAATCTCCCGCCCTCTTCACACCACGACGAACCACGACGAACCGCGTCTCCTCACCCCCCACCAATCTCCTCTCTCTTCACACCACGAACCCCACTTCTCATCCCCCCACCAATTCCCCCCACCAATTCCCCCCCCCCTCTTCACACCACCACGTACCGCACGCCACCAAAACCGAACCGCCAATGAGGGATCGTCGCCGGAGCTCCCCGGTTCTCAGGTTCGGTGCGGTGATGGGGAGCGGTGCGGTGGGGTGGTGGTGGTGGTGGTGTTGTGGTGCTCATCGCTTGTCCACCACCTTCACGATGGACACCGAGCCGACCGCCCCCGCGTGGTAGACGCTCCCGCTCCAGGCGACGCCCACGGCGGGTGCAGCGGCCGCGAGAAGGCCGCGCCGAACGAATGGAGCGGCCTCAACGAGTCGCCGCCGCCGCATCCGAAGAAGGACAGCCGCCCGGCCTCCCAGTCCACGTAGACGCCGACCGTCCCCACGGCCTCCGCTCCCCGCCGCCGACCCGCACGCCGGCCCCGATCCCCCGGCCGGTGGCCTCCGCCGCCGCCTCCGCCGCCTCCGCCGCCTCCGCCGCCTCCGCCGCCTCCGCCGCCTCCGCCGCCTCCGATGCCTCCGCCGCCTCCGCCACCTCCGATGCCTCCGCCGCCTCCGCCGCCTCCGATGCCTCCGCCGCCTCCGCCGCCTCCTCCGCTGCCTCCAACGCCGCCTCCGCCGCCTCCGCCGCCGCCGGCTTCCACGGCCGTCTCGGCGCCGGCGTGCCACGCGACCAGGGCCCCGGGCTCGCCCTGCAGGCACCAGGAGGAGGAGTTCATGCCGCGCGTGCACCGCTCCTGCGCGGCAGCGAGCCGTAGGCGACGCCGACGAGCCAGCGGCCGGCGGCCGGCACAGCCACCTCCCAGTAGTGGCGGCCGGACGAGAAGGACTCGGAGCACAGCGCCTGCGGTGGGGGGCGTGGTGGTGGGGGTGGTGGGGGGGGTGGTGGGGGGGGGTGGTGGGGGGGGTGGGTGGTGGGGGGGGTGGGGGGGTTAAGAAGAAGCGGCACTTTATAACAATAATAATAGTAATAATTTCGATTTAAAGCTGTCGTGACTTGCAAGGATTCACCTCCTTTGGTTCTTTCGGTAAAGTTACCGCCACGTAGAGAATGAGAATAAAATAATAAGAAATTGATAAAATAACACGATAAAATTCTCACGACGTTTCGGCCACAACACAAGCGGCCTTCATCAGGTGAAGGACGAACTGTCCTCCAGACAGTCTCATCCCCTTGTGGCCGAAACGTCGTGAGAATTGTATTGTGTCATTTTATTTTATCAATTTCTTATTATTTTATTCTCATTTTCTACGTGGTGGTGACTTTACCGAAAGAACCAAACAAGAATAATAATAACAACAATAATGATGATTAAAAACACGAATTGATGATCCAAGTCAGATTCATCTCGGACTGCACCGAGGTACCAGCAACCACCCAGAAGCGAAAACGCTCGAAAAACTTAAAAAAAACAACAACTTCGTTTTGCTTCACCAGGCACCACCACCACCACCCCCCATCCGTACAGCGACCTCCCGCGCACCGGGCGAGGTCGCCGACATCTCGGTCTCTCCCGTGCCGCGCTACGAAATTCCACGGGGGCGGTGGGGGGGGGGGGGGTACGGAGGAGGGAGCGGCCCCCCGGCCAAACCTCCCGACGTCCTCCGGAACCGCACCCCTCGACCCCCTGAGGGGGGTCAACTCGGCCGCTTGCCGACCATCGGCCGGTCACCGACCTGGGGATACACGTGTCGTGGAAGCGTTCCGGAGGATCGCGGACCTCCAGGCCCGCGCCCGGGGGGGCTGCTCCTGCTGGGTCCACGTGGCCGTGAGGAGGTCGTCGGAGATGGCGAGCCGCGGGTGGGCCGTGTCCGGGTTCAGGGTGGGCGTGCATCCATCTGGGAGGGGCGGAGGCGGTGGAGGCGGTGGTACCGCTGCGTGGTGACTGTCTGGTGAGTCTGGGTGTCTGTGTGGTGAGTCTGTGGGTGTCTCTGTGTGGTTAGTCTGTTGTGTGTCTCTGTGTGGTGAGTCTGTGTGGGGTGGCTCTGTGTGTGGTGAGTCTGTGTGGGTGTCTGTGTGGTGAGTCTGTGGTGAGTCTGTGGGTGTCTCTGTGAGTCTGTGAGTATCTGTGTGGTGAGTCTGTGGGTGTCTGTGTGATGAGTTTGTGTGGTGTCACTGTGTGTGGTGAGTCTGTGGGTATCTGTGTGGTGAGTATGTGGGTCTCTGTGTGGTGAGTCTGTGGGTGTCTGTGTGGTGAGTCTGTGGGTCTCTGTGTGGTGAGTCTGTGGGTGTCTCTGTGTGGTGAGTCTGTGGGTCTCTGTGTGGTGAGTCTGTGGGGTGTCTCTGTGTAGTGAGTCTGGGTGTCTGTGTGTGATGAGTCTGTGGGTGTCTCTGTATGGTGAGTCTGTGGGTGTCGTGTGGGAGTGTGGTGTCTCTGTGTGGTGAGTCTGTGGGTGTCTCTGTGTGGTGAGTCTGTGCGTGTTTCTGTGTGGTGAGTCTGTGGGTGTTTCTGTGTGGTGAGTCTATGGGTGTCTGTGTAGTGTCTGTGGGTCTCTGTGTGGTGAGTCTGTGGATGTCTCTGTGTGGTGAGTCTGTGGGTCTCTGTGTGGTGAGTTTGTGGGTCTCTGTGTGGTGAGTCTGTGGGTCTCTGTGTGGTGAGTCTGTGGGTCTCTGTGTAGTGAGTCTGTGGGTGTCTGTGTGTGATGAGTCTGTGGGTGTCTCTGTATGGTGAGTCTGTGGGTGTCTGTGTGGTGAGTCTGTGGGTGTCTCTGTGGGTGTCTGTGTGTGGTGAGTCTGTGCGTGTCTCTGTGTGGTGAGTCTGTGGGTGTTTCTGTGTGGTGAGTCTGTGGGTCTCTGTGTGGTGAGTCTGTGGGTGTCTCTGTGTGGTGAGTCTGTGGGTGTCTGTGTGGTGAGTCTGTGGGTGTCTCTGTGTGGTGAGTCTGTGGGTCTCTGTGTGGTGAGTCTGTGGGTGTCTCTGGTGTGAGTCTGTGGGTCTCTGTGTGGTGAGTCTGTGGGTCTCTGTGTGGTGAGTCTGTGGGTGTCTCTGTGTGGTGAGTCTGTGGGTCTCTGTGTGGTGAGTCTGTGGGTCTCTGTGTGGTGAGTCTGTGGGTGTCTCTGTGTGGTGAGTCTGTGGGTCTCTGTGTGGTGAGTCTGTGGGTCTCTGTGTGGTGAGTCTGGGGTGTCTCTGTGTGATGAGTCTATGGGTCTCTGTGTGGTGAGTCTGTGGGTGTCTCTGTGTGATGAGTCTGTGGGTCTCTGTGTGGTGAGTCTGTGGGGTGTCTCTGTGTGGTGAGTCTGGGTCTCTGTGTGGTGAGTCTGTGGGTGTCTCTGTGTGGTGAGTCTGTGGGTCTCTGTGTGATGAGTCTGTGGGTGTCTCTGTGTGGTGAGTCTGTGGGTCTCTGTGTGGTGAGTCTGTGGGTGTCTCTGTGTGGTGAGTTTGTGGGTCTCTGTGTGATGAGTCTGTGGGTTTCTCTGTGTGGTGAGAGCGGGTCTCTGTGTGGTGAGTCTGTGGGTCTCTGTGTGGTGAGTCTGTGGTGTCTCTGTGTGGTGAGTCTGTGGGTCTCTGTGTGATGAGTCTGTGGGTGTCTCTGTGTGGTGAGTCTGTGGGTCTCTGTGTGGTGAGTCTGTGGGTGTCTCTGTGTGGTGAGTCTGTGGGTGTCTGTGTGATGAGTCTGTGGGTGTCTTGGGTGGTGAGTCTGTGGGTGTCTCTGTGTGGTGAGTCTGTGGGTGTCTCTGTGTAGTGAGTCTGTGGTGTCTCTGTGTGGTGAGTCTGTGGGTGTCTCTGTGTGGCGAGTCTGTGGGTCTATGTGTGGTGAGTCTGTGAGTCTCTGTGTGGTGAGTCTGTAGGTGTCTGTGTGATGAGTCTGTGGGTCTCTGTATGGTGATTCTGTGGGTCTCTGTGTGGTGAGTCTGTGGGTGTCTCTGTGTGGTGAGTCTGTGGGTCTCTGTGTGGTGAGTCTGTGGGTCTCTGTGTGGTGAGTCTGTGGGTCTCTGTGTGGTGAGTCTGTGGGTCTCTGTGTGATGAGTCTGTGGGTCTCTGTGTGGTGAGTCTGTGGGTCTCTGTGTGATGAGTCTGTGGGGTGTCTCTGTGCGGTGAGTCTGTCGGTCTCTGCGTGGTGAGTCTGTGGGTCTCTGTGTGGTGAGTCTGTGGGTCTCTGTGTGGTGAGTCTGTGGGTGTCTGTGTGGTGAGTCTGTGTGTCTCTGTGTGGTGAGTCTGTGAGTCTCTGTGTGGTGAGTCTGTGGGTGTCTGTGTGGTGAGTCTGTGTGTCTCTGTGTGGTGAGTCTGTGCGTGTTTCTGTGTGGTGAGTCTGTGGGTGTCTCTGTGTGGTGAGTCTATGGGTGTCTGTGTAGTGTCTGTGGGTCTCTGTGTGGTGAGTCTGTGTGTCTATGTGTCGTGAGTCTGTGTGTCTCTGTGTGGTGAGTCTGTGGATGTCTCTGTGTGGTGAGTCTGTGGGTCTCTGTGTAGTGAGTCTGTGGGTGTGTGTGTTGATGAGTCTGTGGGTGTCTCTGTGTGGTGAGTCTGTGGGTGTCTGTGTGGTGAGTCTGTGGGTGTCTCTGTGGGTGTCTGTGTGGTGAGTCTGTGGTGTCTCTGTGGGTGAGTCTGTGGGTGTCTCTGTGTGGTGAGTCTGTGCGTGTCTCTGTGTGGTGAGTCTGTGGGTCTCTGTGTGGTGAGTTTGTGGGTCTCTGTGTGGTGAGTCTGTGGGTCTCTGTGTGGTGAGTCTGTGGGTCTCTGTGTAGTGAGTCTGTGGGTGTGTGTGTTTGATGAGTCTGTGGGTGTCTCTGTATGGTGAGTCTGTGGGTGTCTGTGTGGTGAGTCTGTGGGTGTCTCTGTGGGTGTCTGTGTGTGGTGAGTCTGTGGGTGTCTCTGTGTGGTGAGTCTGTGGGTGTCTCTGTGTGGTGAGTCTGTGCGTGTCTCTGTGTGGTGAGTCTGTGGGTGTTTCTGTGTGGTGAGTCTGTGGGTCTCTGTGTGGTGAGTCTGTGGGTGTCTCTGTGTGGTGAGTCTGTGGGTGTCTGTGTGGTGAGTCTGTGGGTGTCTCTGTGTGGTGAGTCTGTGGGTCTCTGTGTGTGGTGAGTCTGTGGTGTCTCTGTGTGGTGAGTCTGTGGGTCTCTGTGTGGTGAGTCTGTGGGTCTCTGTGTGGTGAGTCTGTGGGTGTCTCTGTGTGGTGAGTCTGTGGGTCTCTGTGTGGTGAGTCTGTGGGTCTCTGTGTGGTGAGTCTGTGGGTGTGTCTGTGGTGAGTCTGTGGGTCTCTGTGTGGTGAGTCTGTGGGTCTCTGTGTGGTGAGTCTGTGGGTTTCTCTGTGTGATGAGTCTATGGGTCTCTGTGTGGTGAGTCTGTGGATGTCTCTGTGTGGTGAGTCTGTGGGTCTCTGTGTGGTGAGTTTGTGGGTCTCTGTGGTGAGTTGTGGGTCTCTGTGTGGTGAGTCTGTGGGTGTCTCTGTTGTGGAGTCTGCGGGTCTCTGTGTGGTGAGTGTGGGGTTTCTGTGTGGTGAGTCTGTGGGTCTCTGTGTGGTGAGCTGTGGGTGTCTCTGTGTGGTGAGTCTGGGGTCTGTGTGGTGAGTCTGTGGGTGTCTCTGTGTGGTGAGTCTGTGGGTCTCTGTGGGTGAGTCTGTGGGTGTCTGTGTGAGGTGAGTGTGGGTATCTGTGTGAGGTGAGTTTATGGATCTCTGTGTGGTGAGTGTGTGGGTCTCTGTGTGGTGAGTTTGTGGGTCTCTGTGTGGTGAGTGTGGGTGTCTCTGTGTGTGAGTCTGTGGGTCTCTGTGTGGTGAGTCTGTGGGTGTCTCTGTGTGGTGTCTGTGGGTCTCTGTGTGGTGAGTCTGTGGGTGTCTCTGTGTGGTGAGTCTGGGGTCTCTGTGTGGTGAGTCTGTGGGTCTCTGTGTGGTGAGTCTGTGGGTCTCTGTGTGGTGAGTCTGTGGGTGTCTCTGTGTGGTGAGTCTGTGGGTCTCTGTGTGTGAGTCTGTGGGTGTCTCTGTGTGGTGAGTCTGTGGGTCTCTGTGTGGTGAGTCTGTGGGTGTCTCTGTGTGGTGAGTCTGTGGGTCTCTGTGTGATGAGTCTGTGGGTGTCTTGTGTGGTGAGTCTGGGTGTCTCTGTGTGGTGAGTCTGTGGGTGTCTCTGTGTGGTGAGTCTGTGGGTGTCTCTGTGTGGTGAGTCTGTGGGTGTCTCTGTGTGGTGAGTCTGTGGGTCTCTGTGTGGTGAGTCTGTGAGTCTCTGTGTGGTGAGTCTGTGGGTCTCTGTGTGGTGAGTCTGTGGTCTCTGTGTGGTGAGTCTGTGGGTCTCTGTGTGTGAGTCTGTGGGTCTCTGTGGTGAGTCTGTGGGTCTCTGTGTGGTGAGTCTGTGGGTCTCTGTGTGAGTCTGGGGTCTCTGTGTGGTGAGTCTGTGGGTCTCTGTGTGATGAGTCTGTGGGTCTCTGTGTGGTGAGTCTGTGGGTCTCTGTGTGATGAGTCTGTAGGGTGTCTCTGTGCGGTGAGTCTGTGGGTCTCTGCGTGGTGAGTCTGTGGGTCTCTGTGTGGTGAGTATGTGGGTCTCTGTGTGGTGAGTCTGTGGGTGTCTGTGTGGTGAGTCTGTGTGTCTCTGTGTGGTGAGTCTCTGTATGATGTGAGTCTGTGTGGTGAGTCTGGGTGTCTGTGTGGTGAGTCTGTGTGTCTCTGTGTGGTGAGTCTGTGGGTGTCTCTGTGTGGTGAGTCTGTGGGTGTCTGTGTGGTGAGTCTGTGGGTCTCTGTGTGGTGAGTCTGTGGGTCTCTGTGTGGTGAGTCTGTGGGTCTCTGTGTGGTGAGTCTGTGGGTCTCTGTGTGGTGAGTCTGTGGGTTACTGTGTGGTGAGTCTGTGTGTCTATGTGTGGTGAGTCTGTGGTGTCTCTGTGTGGTGAGTCTGTGGGTGTCTCTGTGTGGTGAGTCTGTGGGTGTCTCTGTGTGTGAGTCTGTGGGTCTCTGTGTGATGAGTCTGTGGGTCTCTGTGTGGTGAGTTGTGGGTCTCTGTGTGATGAGTCTGTGGGCTCTGTGTGGTTCAGTCTGTGGGTCTCTGTGTGGTGAGTCTGTGGGTGTCTCTGTGTGGTGAGTCTGGGGGTCTGTGTGGTGAGTCTGTGGGTCTCTGTGTGGTGAGTCTGTGGGTCTCTGTGTGGTGAGTCTGTGGGTCTCTCTGTGTGGTGAGTCTGTGGTGTCTCTGTGGGTGAGTCTGTGGGTGTCTCTGTGTGGTGAGTCTGTGGGTCTCTCTGTGTGGTGAGTCTGTGGGTCTCTGTGTGGTGAGTCTATGGGTGTCTCTGTTTGGGCGAGTCTATGGGTCTCTGTGTGGTGAGTCTGTGGGTCTCTGTGTGGTGAGTCGTGGGTGTCTCTGTGTGGTGAGTTGTGGGTCTCTGGTGTGAGTCTATGGGTGTCTCTGTGTGGCGAGTGTGGGTCTCTGTGTGGTGAGTCTGTGGGTCTCTGTGTGGTGAGAGTCTGTGGTCTCTGTGTGGTGAGTTCTGGGTGTCTCTGTGTGGTGAGTCTGTGGATCTGTGTGTGGTGAGTCTGTGTGTCTCTGTGGTGAGTCTGTGGGTCTCTGTGTGTGAGTCTGTGGGTCTCTGTGTGGTGAGTCTGTGGGTCTCTGTGTGGTGAGTCTGTGGGTCTCTGTGTGGTTCAGTCTGTGGGTGTCTCTGTGTGGTGAGTCTGTGGGTGTCTCTGTGTGGTGAGTCTGTGGGTCTCTGTTTGGTGAGTTTGTGGGTGTCTCTGTGTGGTGAGTCTGTGGGTGTCTCTGTGTGGTGAGTCTGTGTGTCTCTGTGTGGTGAGTCTGTGGGTGTCTCTGTGTGGTGAGTCTGTGGGTGTCTCTGTGTGGTGAGTCTGTGGGTGTCTCTGTGTGGTGAGTCTGTGGGTCTCTGTGTGGTGAGTCTGTGGGTCTCTCTGTGTGGTGAGTCTGTGGGTGTCTCTGCGTGGTGAATCTGTGGGTGTCTCTCTGCGGTGATTCTAACTCCGACGTCCGGCCTCACAGTTCTTGATGTAGCTTCTTCTGCTCGTGGCTTCCCTGCCACTGCCGCTGCCGCCGCCGCCGAGGCTGCCGCTGCTCCTCCTCCGGAAAAGATTCCCGAGCGCGGCGCGGAGTTGTGGCAACTGGAGGGGCTCCACTCGCTCCCTGGAGCCCAAGCCGGAGCCCGGGCGAAGCCTCCTCCACCCCCCCTCCCCCACCCCGCCGACCGACTCCTCGTCGGCCTCCTTGGGCCCGCTGGGCCTCGCTAGGAAGTCCAGAATCTTGTCCACGTAAGCCTCACTTCGAGAGGACTCGGCAAAGTGCAGACCCGGTCGGACGGGCGGGTCCAAAGGAGACTGGCTCAGGGTCAGTAGCCTTGGTTGGTTAGGTGGTGGGGTGGTGGAGAGAATTGGGGGGATTGGGGTGGGGGAGGGTGGTTTGGTTGAGTTGTTCGACCAAACTTCAGCATGCTGGTCAGTGATGGAGGCGAACGTCGAGTGTGGGTGTGGATGAGTGAGTGGGTAGGTGAGTGAGTGCATGGGTGAGTGAGTGGGTAGGTCAGTGAGTGAATGGGTGAGTGATCGAATGGGTGAGTGAGTGGGTAGGTCAGTGAGTGAATGGGTGAATGAGTGGGTAGGTCAGTGAGTGAGTGAGTGGGTAGGTCAGTGAGTGAATGGGTGAGTGATCGAATGGGTGAGTGAGTGGGTGAGTGGTCTGGTGAGTGCGTGACTGGGTGTGAGTGGGTGAGTGAGTCGGTGAACGGGTGAGTAATTGGGTGAGTGAGCGGGTGAGTGAGCAAGTGAAAGTGTGACTGGGTGTGAGTGGGTGAGTGAGTGAGGGGGTGAGTGAGTGAGTGAGTGGGTGAGTGAAGTGAGGGGGTGTGTGTGGGTGAGTGGGTGGGTGAGTGAGTGGGTGAGTGAGTGGGTGAGTGAGTGCGTGAGTGAGTGAGTGAGTGAGTGAGTGAGGGTGAGTGAGTGGGTGAGTGAGTGAGTGAGAGGGTGAGTGAGTGGGTGAGTGAGTGGGTGAATGAGTGAGTGAGTGCGTGAGTGAGTGACTGGGTGAGTGAGTGGGTGAGTGAGTGGGTGAGTGAGCAGGTGAAAGGGTGAGCCTGTCGAGTGAGCATTGAGCTGTCACGCAAAGGGCGAGATACGAACCTAGGGGCGTCGTTGAAGCGATTGAATTCGAGGGTGCAAATCACCCAATAGGGTTCCGTTAAAGGGTTGAGTGAGTCACGGAGGAAGCGACTTACCTTTCACCATCTTTCATATAGCCCTAAACACACGCACAAAGACAACCCGGCCGTTAGTCTGCTGTAAATTAAGTACAACAAACGCAACACGTTCATTAGCAAAAACCGTGCATTCGTGTGTGTGTTGAAGAGCGGCAGTGTGGGGGTTAGTGCGCTGCGCTACGAACCCGGTAACCCGAGTTCGTTTAAAAAAAGCTCCCTCCTTCATCAACAGCTCTCTCCTTCATCCACAGCTCTCTCCTTCATTCACAACTCTCTCCTTCATCAACAGCTCTCTCCTTCATCCACAGCTCTCTCCTTCTTCATCCACAGCCCTCTCCTTCATCCACAGCTCTCTCCTTCATCCACAGCTCTCTCCTTCATCCACAGCTCTCTCCTTCATCCACAGCTCTCTCCTTCTTCATCCACAGCTCTCTCCTTCATCCACAGCTCTCTCCTTCATCCACAGCTCTCTCCTTCATCCACAGCTCTCTCCTTCAGCCACAGCCCTATCCTTCATCCACAGCTCTCTCCTTCATCCACAGCTCCCTCCTTCATCCACAGCTCTCTCCTTCAGCCACAGCCCTCTCCTTCATCCACAGCTCTCTCCTTCATCCACAGCTCTCTCCTTCATCCACAGCTCTCTCCTTCATCGACAGCTCTCTCCTTCAGCCACAGCCCTCTCCTTCATCCACAGCCCTCTCCTTCATCCACAGCTCTCTCCTTCATCCACAGCTCTCCTTCATCCACAGCTGCCTCCTTCATTCACAGGTCTCTCCTTCATCCACAGATGCCTGCCTCCTTCATCCACAGCTCTCTCCTTCATCCACAGCTCTCTCCTTCTTCATCCACAGCTCTCTCCTCATCCACAGCTCTCTCCTTCATCCACAGCTCTCTCCTTCATCCACAGCTCTCTCCTTCTTCATCCACAGCTCTCTCCTACATCCACAGCTCTCTCCTTCATCCACAGCTCTCTCCTTCATCCACAGCTCTCTCCTTCATCCACAGCTGCCTCCTTCTTCATCCACAGCTCTCTCCTACATCCAAAGCTCTCTCCTTCATCCATGGCTCTCTCCTTCTTCATCCACAGCTCCCTCCTTCATCCACAGCTCTCTCCTTCACCCACAGCTCCCTCCTTCACCACAGCTCTCTCGTTCATCCAAAGCTGTCTCCTTCATCCACAGCTCCCTCCTCCATCCACAGCTCCCTCCTTCATCCACAGCTGCCTCCTTCATCAACAGCTCTCTCCTTCATCCATAGCTCTCTCCTTCATCCACAGCTCTCTCCTTCTTCATCCACAGCTCTCTCCTCCATCCACAGCTCTCTCCTCCATCAACAGCTCTCTCCTTCATCCACAGCTCTCTCCTCCATCCACAGCTCTCTTCTTCATCCACAGCTCTCTCATTCATCCACAGCTCTCTCCTCCATCCACAGTTCTCTCCTTCATCCATGGCTCTCTACTTCATCCACAGCTCTCTCCTTCTTCATCCACAGCTCTCTCCTTCATCCACATCTCTCTCCTTCATCCACAGATCCCTCTTTCATCCACAGCTCTCTCCTCGACCCACAGCTCTCTCCATTGAAAAATAATGACGATGAAATTGTTATTGAAAAAAATAGTAAATAAATTACAATGAGAAAAAATAAAAAATAAATGTCTTATAATGAAAAAATAACGATGAAAAAATAACAATGAAAAATACATTAGTGAACAATAATTATGGAAATATTAATGGTCCTCTCTTTTTTAAAATAACAATGAAAACATTACAATAAAATCATTATTGTTGCAAAAAAAAGATGAATGAATGAAGCGATGGGAAAAATTAATAATTTATCGAAAAAATAACGACGACGTGAACAATCCTCGCACGGGGAAAAAAACAACAATTGTCTACGTGATGTCCGACGTTTCGGGCAACGCCCCCTCCACCCCGAGGTCTCATTCCAGCGCAGTCACCCGGATGAAGGCCACGTGGTTCTCCGTCGCCTCGAGCTCGTGCACGGCACCCAGCGCCTCCTGGAGGAGTCCCAGCTCCGCGCGGAGCCTCGCGGCCTCGGCGCGGAGCTCCGCCTCCTTGGCGCGGAGCTCCGCCCGGGGCGTCGCCAGAGCCGAGAGGCGCTCCGCTGTCAGCAGCCCCAGCAGGGAGTCGAACTTGGCGGCCAGGCGAGACTCGGTCGCCACGCACGACTCCTGGTGGTGGTGGTGAGACGTGGTGGTGGTGAGACGTGGTGGTGGTGGTGGGGAGACACGTGGTGGTGGTGGTGGTGGTGAGACGTGGTGGTGGTGGTGGGGGTGGGGGGGGGTGGTGGTGGTGTTTGTGGTGGGGGTGGTTGTGGTGGTAGTGGTGGTGTTGGTGGTGTTTGTGTGGTGGTGGTGTTGGTAGTGTTTGTGGTGGCGGTGGTGTTTGTGGTGGTAGTGGTGGTGTTGGTGGTGTTGGTGGTGGTGGTGTTTGTGGTGGTGGTGGTGGTTGGTGGTGTTTGTGGTGGTGGTGTTTGTGGTGGTGGTGGTTGTTGGTGCTGTTTGTGGTGGTGGTGTTTGTGGTGGTGGTGGTGGTGGTGAGCCCTTGCGGTGGTGTTTGTGGTGGTGGTGGTGGTGGTGTTTGTGGTGGTGGTATTTGTGATGTTTGTGGTCGTGGTGGTGGTGGTGGTGGTGAGCCTTGCGGTGGTGTTTGTGGTGGTGGTGAGCCCTGGTGGTGGTGGTTGTTGGTGGTGTTTGTGGTGGTGGTGTTTGTGGTGGTGGTGTTTGTGGTGGTGGTGGTGGTTGTTGGTGCTGTTTGTGGTGGTGGTGTTTGTGGTGGTAGTGGTGGTGGTGGTGATGGTGGTGGTGTTTGTGGTGGTGGTGTTTGTGGTGGTGGTGATGATGGTGGTGGTGTTTGTGGTCCCCGGGCCTCCCCTAGGTCGACTCGGCCTAAAATGAGTGTGTGGTCAACATTGTCACTGGAGAGATTGTTCCATCTCACTCCCTTCTACACCCGTGTGTGGACTAATCTCCATCTGTTCCATCTCGCTCCCTTCTACACCGTGTGTGGACTAATCTCCATCTGTTCCATCTCACTCCCTTCAACCCCGTGTGTGGACTAATCTCCATCTGTTCCATCTCACCTTCTACACCCGTGTGTGGACTAATCTCCATCTGTTCCATCTCACCCTTCTACACCGTGTGTGGACTAATCTCCATCTGTTCCAAAAAAAAAACACCTTTAGCGTGAATAATATCGGTGGCGAAAGCCCGCTGCGTGTTTAAACTGAGAACGTGCCCGTCATTTGTTTATAAAGTTTGCCCATTTTGACGTGACGTCACATTGCTCAAACCCTCCCCCCACCCCACACCCCCGCTAGGTGCGTGACGTCACTCATGGGGGGCGTGACGTGTGACGTGTGTGAATCGTCATCGTCGTCACGGCCGTTGCCCCGTGATGACGTGCGAGCCTCACGTCGAGGGCCAGAGTGGTGCGGTGGAGCTCCTGCAGGTAGACGTTGATGCTCCTCTGCCTGTCCCGTAGGCAACGCTTGCACGAGACGAGCCGCTCCTGAGGGAGAGGGGGGGGCCGTGAGAAACGTCAGCAGCAGCGGTGACGTCACCGCGGCCACGTCCCGTGCCAGGCTAGGTGCACCTCGAGGCCGCCATGTGAAGTGTCGAACGCCCGCTGGCAGGAGGTCACGGGGCAGACCCGGCAGGTGGCACGGGTCGACTGACTGAGATGACTGTGGCTGATGCACCACCTGTGCCCACTACTGTGCCAACCTGCTGTGCTTTAGCCACCCGGCGCTCCGCTCGTTGTTGTGAGCGTCGCTCCTCCGCCCTCCGTTGTTGTTGGAGGGCGACTGCCTCCAACTGCCCAGTAGCGTCCTTCACGAGCCTCCTCCACAGAGGCCGATCTTGACACCGCTGGTACCGGTCATCGGCAAGTCCACTCAGCTCCACGTCCTCCTGTACCTGCACTCCATCTCTTCTCTAGCCCGTGCCGCGCCCGCTTAGCCCCCTCGATCCGGCCGAACAAAAGCTGTTTCGGCATGCGGTGGCTGGGCATGCGGGCTACATGACCCAGCCAACGGCACCACCGCCACCACCACAATAACCACCACCACCACCACCACGACCACCACCACAATCACCACAATAACCACCAGCACCACCACCACCACAATCACCACCAGCACCACCACCACAATCACCACAATCACCACCAGTACCACCACCACCACAATCACCACCAGCACCACCAGCATCACCGCTTCCACTACCACCTCCTCCTCCACCACCTCCTCCACCACCATCACCCTCACCACCTCCACCTGCACCTGCACCATCACCTCCACCACCACTTGCAGTACCACCTCCTCCACCACGATCACCAGCACCAACACCGCTGCTTCCACTACCACCTCGTCCGCCACCATCACCACCATTTTACACTGCCACCACCTCCACCACCTCTACCACCACCACCACCACCTGCACAACCTCCAACATCACCGCCACCTCCACCATCACCACCACCACCCCCACCACCACCACCACCACCTCCACCTCCACCACCACCACCCACCACTACCACCACCTCCAACATCACCGCCACCTCCACCATCACCACCTCCACCACCTCCACCACCACCTGCACCCCTTCCAACATCACCACCACCACCACCACCCCCACCACCACCACCACCACCTCCACCACCACCACCACCCCCACCACTACCACCACCTCTACCACCTCCACCACCACCTGCACCCCTTCCAACATCACCACCACCACCACCACCCCCACCACCACCACCACCACCACCACCACCACACCACCACCACCCCCACCACCACCACCACCACCTCCACCACCACCACCACCACTACCACCACCTCTACCACCTCCACCACCACCTGCACCCCTTCCAACATCACCACCACCACCACTACCACCACCTCCAACATCACCGCCACCTCCAACATCACCACCACCACCTGCACCACCTCCAACATCACCATCACCTTCACCCCCACCCCCCCCACCACCCCCCCCACCATCACCTTCACCCCCACCCCCCCCACCCCCCCCCCCACCCCCCCACCCCCCCACCCCCCCACCCCCCACGTGGTGCCCGACTCACGCTCTGCCGCGCTCGCTCTTCGGCCACGGGCCCCGCACGGTGTCCACGGCCGTGCCGCCCCGAGTCGGCCGTGCAGGCCCGGCAGGCGAGCTCCCCCTCCTCCCGGCAGTACAGCTCCAGCTCCAGGCCGTGCTCGTCACACCTCGTCCACCTCATCCTCCTCCTCCTCCTCCTAGCCGCGCCATCCTCATCCTCGTCCTCCTCCTCCTCGTCGTCATCCTCATCCTCCTCCGCCGCCGCTCCCCGCGGCCTGGGGGCGACGAGGGGGTGGCTCAGGCGCAGGTGAGGCAGCCGGGAGTGTGGCTCCAGGTGACACTCGCACAGCGAGACCTCGCACCGTAGGCAGCTACGCACGGCCACGCGACGTCCGGGCCCGCGGCAGATGTCACACGGCACCTGGGGGTGGGGAGGGAGGAGGAGGAAGAGGTGGAGGAGGTGAGGGAGGTGGAGGAGGAGGTGGAGGAGGAGGTGGAGGAGGTGGGGGAGACCTCGCACCGTAGGCAGCTACGCACGGCCACGCGACGTCCGGGCCCGCGGCAGATGTCACACGGCACCTGGGGTGGGGAGGGTGGAGGAGGAGGTGGAAGAGGAGGTGAGGGAGGTGGAGGAGGTGGTGGAGGAGGTGGAGGAGGTGGTGGAGGAGAGGGGGTGGAGGAGGTGGGGGAGGAGGAGGTGGAGAAGGTGGAGGAGGTGAGGGAGGTGGAGGAGGTGGTAGAGGAGGTGCGGGAGGTGGAGGAGGTGGTGGAGGAGGTGGAGGAGGTGGTGGAGGAGAGGGGGTGGAGGAGGTGGGGGAGGAGGAGGTGGAGAAGGTGGAGGAGGTGAGGGAGGTGGAGGAGGTGGTAGAGGAGGTGAGGGAGGTGGAGGAGGTGGTGGAGGAGGTGGTGGAGGAGGTGGAGGAGGTGGGGGAGACCTCGCACCGTAGGCAGCTACGCACGGCCACGCGACGCCGTCCGGGCCCGCGGCAGATGTCACACGGCACCTGGGGTGGGGAGGGTGGAGGAGGAAGAGGTGGAGGAGGTGAGGGAGGTGGAGGAGGTGGAGGAGGAGGTGGAGGAGGTGGAGGAGGTGGGGGAGACCTCGCACCGTAGGCAGCTACGCACGGCCACGCGACGTCCGGGCCCGCGGCAGATGTCACACGGCACCTGGGGTGGGGAGGGAGGAGGAGGAAGAGGTGGAGGAGGTGAGGGAGGTGGAGGAGGAGGTGAGGGAGGTGGAGGAGGTGGAGGAGGAGGTGGAGGAGGTGGGGGAGACCTCGCACCGCAGGCAGCTACGCACGGCCCGCGACGTCCGGGCCCGCGGCAGATGTCACACGGCACCTGGGGTGGGGAGGGTGGAGGAGGAAGAGGTGGAGGAGGTGAGGGAGGTGGAGGAGGAGGTGGAGGAGGAGGTGGAGGAGGTGGGGAGACCTCGCACCGTAGGCAGCTACGCACGGCCACGCGACGTCCGGGCCCGCGGCAGATGTCACACGGCACCTGGGGTGGGGAGGGTGGAGGAGGAAGAGGTGGAGGAGGTGAGGGAGGTGGAGGAGGTGGAGGAGGAGGTGGAGGAGGTGGAAGGAGGTGGGGGAGACCTCGCACCGTAGGCAGCTACGCACGGCCACGCGACGTCCGGGCCCGCGGCAGATGTCACACGGCACCTGGGGTGGGGAGGGTGGAGGAAGAGGTGGAGGAGGTGAGGGAGGTGGAGGAGGTGGTGGAGGAGGTGGAGGAGGTGGTGGAGGAGAGGGGGTGGAGGAGGTGGGGGAGGAGGAGGTGGAGAAGGTGGAGGAGGTGAGGAGGTGGAGGAGGTGGTAGAGGAGGTGAGGGAGGTGGAGGAGGAGGTGAGGGAGGTGGAGGAGGAGGTGGAGGCGGTGGGAGGAGGTGGGGGAGGTGGGGGAGGGGGAGGAGGGGGAGGAGGGTGGGGTGTAGGTGGAGGAGGTGAGGGAGGTGGAGGAGGTGGGGGAGGTGGAGGAGGTGGAGGAGGTGGAGGGGGTGGAGGAGGTGGAGGAGGTGGAGGAGGTGGAGGAGGTGGAGGAGGTGGAGGGGTAGAGGAGGTGGGGGAGGTGGAGGAGCTGGAGCATATCGTGTGTGTCTGTTGTTGTTATTGTTGTTGTAACGTTTTGACCCCGTGCTCCTACTGGACGTCTGTTACTAAAGCGCTTCGTAGCTCATCGGATTCCTCCTCCTCCAGCAGTCTAAACGCAGATTTCGGGCAGAAGCGCATCTCAAAGCGGCACTCGATATCGTCTGATGACGATAACGATAACTCATCCACCTACTAACTCGCCTATTCACTCACTCATCCACCCACCAACTCGCCTATTCACTCCCTCACCCACCCACCAACTCGCCTATTCACTCACTCATCCACCCCCACCAACTCGCCTATTCACTCACTCATCCACTCACCAACTCGCCTATTCCACTCACTCATCCACCCACCAACTCGCCTATTCACTCATCCACTCACTATCTCGCCTATTCACTCACTCATCCACTCACCAACTCGCCTATTCACTCCCACATCCACCTACTAACTCGCCTATTCACTCACTCATCCACTCACCATCTCGCCTATTCACTCACTCATTCACCCACCAACTCGGCCATGCACTCACTCACCCACCCACCAACTCGCCTATTCACTCCCACACCCACCCACCAACTCGCCTATTCACTCACCCATCCACCCACCATCTTGCCTATTCACTTCCACACCCACCCACCAACTCGCCTATTCACTCCCACACCCACCCACCAACTCGCCTATTCACTCCCCCACCCAACCCCAAACTCGCCCATTCACTCCCACACCCACCCACCAACTCGCCCATTCACTCCCACACCACCCACCAACTCGGCCTATTCACTCCCACACCCACCCACCAACTCGCCCATTCACTCCCACACCCACCCACCAACTCGCCTATTCACTCCCACACCCACCCACTAACTCGCCTATTCACTCGCCCACCCACCATGAGATCTTCACTCAAAACTGCTCTAGATGAGTTGTTACACCCCTAGCTGCCACTGCTATTCAGTGGCCTCAAATAAAATAAAATGTTTTCGCTCCGGATGACCGCTGCAAAGTATTATTCTGTGTTTTGATTTAGCGTGCTGATCTCCTAAAGGTGCATTGGACATTTTTGATACTCCGACTGATGCACCTGTTGTGTGGAGTGACTCATGCAGCCAGCTATGGCTACAGGGTTTGGTGTTACATGTTATTATTTATGTAATTTATTGTAAAAAATTCGGTCACAGTCCCTATGATCACTCTTACGTTGCAATTATGGCTTTATTTTTAGGTGATTTCGAAAAGTTTTTTTGGTTTGGCCATGTTTGTTTATTGTAGTACGGAGTTAGACTGATGGCCTTAATCTAAGTTGTCTTGTGGTTGTTGTTGTGGTTGTTGTTGTTGTGGTTGTTGTTGTTGTGGTTGTTGTTGTGGTTGTTGTTGTTGTTGTTTGATTTGCATCCCACTGGGAGTGTTGCACACAGTGTTGGTGGTGTAACGGTGCTTTTTCTGGAATATTTTGATGTTTTTTTTTCCCCATGGATTTTTCTGTTTGCCCAGTCACCACACGCAGCAGTCACTGTAAGATGTTTGTCTTGATCGTGTTTTTTGTTTTTTTTTGTGTTTGTTGTGGTTGCACTCCGATTCAAGAGCCCAATGGCTCACAGGGCTATACCAACATTAATGAAACTGAAACCAACTCTCCTATTCACTCACCCACCCACCCACTCTCGTATTAACTCGCGCACCCACCCACCAACTCTCCTATTCACTCACCCACCCACCCACTCTCGTATTAACTCGCGCACCCACCCACCAACTCTCCTATTCACTCACCCACCCACCCACTCTCGTATTAACTCGCGCACCCACCCACCAACTCGCCTATTCACTCTCCCATCCACCCAACAACTCGCCTATTAATTCACCCATCCACCCACCAACCCGCCTATTAACCCGCGCACCCACCCACCAACTCGCCTCATTCACTCTCCTACCCACCCACCAACTCGCCTATTCACTCACCCATCCACCCACCAACTCGCCTATTAACTCGCGCACCCACCCACCAACTCGCCTCATTCACTCTCCCAACCACCCACCAACTCGCCTATTCACTCTCCCAACCACCCACCAACCCGCCTATTCACTCTCCCACCCACCTACCATACCAACTCGACTATTCACTCTCCCACCCACCCACCAACTCGACTATTCACTCGCCCACCCACCAACTCGCTTGCCCATTCACTCGTTCGCTTGCTCCCTCACCCACACCCACCCATTCACTCTCCCCTCCACCCACCAACTCGCCTATTCACTCACCCACCAACCAACTCTCTTGCCCACTCACTCGTTCGCTCGCTTCCTCACCCACAACTACCATCCCACCCATTCACTCGCCCACACTCCGCTCACTCACTCGGGCATTCAGGGAGGGTTGGTGGATCACACGTGGATATTGCAAAACTCCCTTATCGCCGCGTCGAGGGGGAGTCCATTCGCTCAGCTCCTCACTCACCCACTCACTCATCCATTAAAACGGGCATTCACTCACTGACTCACCTACCCATCAACCCACCCACTTATTGACGCATTAACCCACTCACTCACCCACTCACTCACCCACTCATTGACCCATTAACCCACTCACTCACTCACCTACCCATCAACCCACTCACTCACCCACTCATTGACCCATTAACCCACTCACTCACCCACTCACTCACCTCTCACTTACTCACCCACTCACCTACCGATCAACTCACTCACCCACTCACTCACTCACTCATTGACCCATTAACCCACTCACTCACCCACTCACTCACCTCTCACTCACCCACTCACCTACCGATCAACTCACTCACCCACTCACTCACCCACTCATTGCCCCATTAACCCACTCACTCACCCACTCACTCACCTCTCACTCACCCACTCACCTACCGATCAACTCACTCACCCACTCACTCACCCACTCACTCACCCACTCATTGACCAATTAACCCACTCACTCACCCACTCACTCACCTCTCACTTACTCACCCACTCACCTACCGATCAACTCACTCACCCACTCACTCACTCACTCATTGACCCATTAACCCACTCACTCACCCACTCACTCATCCATTAATACGGGCATTCACTCACTGACTCACCTACCCATCAACCCACCCACTCATTGACGCATCAACCCACTCACGCACTCACCTACCCATCAACCCATTCACTCACCCACTCATTGACCCATTAACCCACTCACTCACCCACTCACTCACCTCTCACTCACTCACCCACTCACCTACCGATCAACTCACTCACCCACTCACTCACCCACTCATTGACCCATTAACCCACTCACTCACCCACTCACTCACCTCTCACTCACCCACTCACCTACCGATCAACTCACTCACCCACTCACTCACCCACTCATTGACCCATTAACCCACTCACTCACCCACTAACTCACCTCTCACTCACCCACTCACCTACCGATCAACTCACTCACCCACTCACTCACCCACTCACTCACCCACTCATTGACCCATTAACCCACTCACTCACCCACTCACCTCTCACTTACTCACCCACTCACCTACCGATCAACTCACTCACCCACTCACTCACCCACTCATCGACCCATTAACCCACTCACTCACCCACTCACTCACCTCTCACTCACCCACTCACCTACCGATCAACTCACTCACCCACTCACTCACCCACTCAATGACCCATTAACCCACTCACTCACCCACTCACTCACCTCTCACTCACCCACTCACCTACCGATCAACTCACTCACCCACTCACTCACCCACTCATTGACCCATTAACCCACGCACTCACCCACTCACTCACCTCTCACCCACTCACCTACCGATCAATTCACTCACCCACTCACTCACCCACTCATTGACCCATTAACCCACTCACTCACCCACTCAACTCCCCATCAACCCACTGAACCCATCCACCCACCCCCAATTATGCCCACAAATAACTTCTGATAAGCGAGCCTTTACTTAGGCGGGTGGCAATCAACTACAACCACCACAACCACGACCACCATCATCAAATCATTCAATTAACTACAACCACCACAACCACGACCACCATCATCAAATCATTCAATCAACTACAACCACCACAACCACGACCACCATCATCAAATCATTCAATCAACTACAACCACCACAACCACGACCACCATCATCAAATCATTCAATTCAACTACAACCACCACAACCACGACCACCATCATCAAATCATTCAATCAACTACAACCACCACAACCACGACCACCATCATCAAATCATTCAATCAACTACAACCACCACAACCACGACCACCATCATCAAATCATTCAATCAACTACAACCACCACAAACCACGTCCACCATCATCAAATCATTCAATCAACTACAACCATCACAACCACGACCACCATCATCAAATCATTCAATCAACTACAACCACCACAAACCACGACCACCATCATCAAATCATTCAATTAACTACAACCACCACAACCACGACCACCATCATCAAATCATTCAATCAACTACAACCACCACAACCACGACCACCATCATCAAATCATTCAATCAACTACAACCACCACAACCACGACCACCATCATCAAATCATTCAATCAACTACAACCACCACAACCACGTCCACCATCATCAAATCATTCAATCAACTACAACCACCACAACCACGTCCACCATCATCAAATCATTCAATCAACTACAACCACCACAACCACGACCACCATCATCAAATCATTCAATCAACTACAACCACCACAACCACGACCACCATCATCAAATCATTCAATCAACTACAACCACCACAACCACGACCACCATCATCAAATCATTCAATCAACTACAACCACCACAACCACGACCACCATCATCAAATCATTCAATCAACTACAACCACCACAACCACGACCACCATCATCAAATCATTCAATCAACTACAACCACCACAACCACGACCACCATCATCAAATCATTCAATCAACTACAACCACCACAACCACGACCACCATCATCAAATCATTCAATCAACTACAACCACCACAACCACGACCACCATCATCAAATCATTCAATCAACTACAACCACCACAACCACGACCACCATCATCAAATCATTCAATCAACTACAACCACCACAACCACGACCACCATCATCAAATCATTCAATCAACTACAACCACCACAACCACGACCACCATCATCAAATCATTCAATCAACTACAACCACCACAACCACGACCACCATCATCAAATCATTCAATCAACTACAACCACCACAACCACGACCACCATCATCAAATCATTCAATCAACTACAACCACCACAACCACGACCACCATCATCAAATCATTCAATCAACTACAACCACCACAACCACGACCACCATCATCAAATCATTCAATCAACTACAACCACCACCACAATGATGACAACGCATACCCAGTGACGGACGATCTCAGTAGCAGAATTCGATTTCAAGCGATCACTTCCGGCTCCGTGATTCTGCACTAGCTTTATCACTATAGTACTATACCGCCTTTAAGCTTCATGAACGACCGGGTGTTTAAGGTTAGCGATTTGTTGTATTATCTGGGCTGCATGAAAAAAATACAATTACTT